GAATGTAAAAGCAGATTTCCATAGGTTAATTTATAAACTTTTAACAAGAGTATGCCATCAATACATCAATATGGAGTAATTTTTAGATGTCATTTCATACAATTGTTGGTGTTAAGGAACCCTGGATTTCTGTGTTGTATAACATTTGCTTTTTTTTAGCATTTGAATTTTTAAAAGTAATTATTAACAGAAAGATTTTTGTACATATAAACAAGATCGTTTATAGTATGGAAAAGCAGAGAAAGTAGAGTAGCTAAACCAATTTTAAAGTGAAAAATAAGGTAAAGGGAATTAGTCTACTCATTGTTAAGGACAGGACCAGATAGCATTTCATCCCATTGTGTGTGAATTCACCATGATTCAATAATCAACTTGATGGTTGCTAACAACAGCACAACATGGAACTATAACAATAAGATGAGTGAGACTGAATGGACAATCCAGAAATAGGCTTGTGTTGTCTTATTTAGGGTTCTCTATTTTACGTCTGGGGGTTCTGATATCCACTGCAATGTATACACAGAACTCACAGACAAAAGTCATGACTGAAGGGTTTTTTTAAGGCAGCAAATAAGTTGTTATGCCAGTGAGAAAAGCTCAGGGTTGAATTGTTTATCAGGACATGTTACAAAGTTCTCTCAAGTCTCAAAAATGTCCAAAGGGCATACCACTCTGTTATAAGCCTCAGTCTGAAGGCATTCAGTTTATGCTCTGTGGGTTAGCAAATCCAGCTGCCTGATTTAAGGACCCAGAGGCACCCCACTCCAGTAAGCCCAACTTCCCCAATTAAGTTCCCAAAGGCACCTCAATATGCAAGCCAGTCTCCTCCACAAAAGCACTCAGCTTTACTTGCTCCATGAATTAGAAAGCCCATCACTCAGTTCCATACTCTGGCTCCTGGTTCTGATGCTGCTCTTCTGATGGTAGAGCTGTCAGATGGATCCAGGAGGTTCACTGCACAGGAATCCTGGGTCCAGAGGACACACTTCACTCCTGACTTTTGCTGGTAATGTGATCCTTATTCCTGCCTCTCAGAGATCTAATTTTTATATACAGTCGAATGATACTTCAGAGAATCCTATTTTCATTTACTCACAGGTGAACCCTATCAGTATCTTCCCCCACCTTCTAACTGGACCCATGCAGGGAAAAGTCATTTGGTGGAATTAGAGACTTCAGCTAGAAGAGCTGCCACATTAAACGATTGACTGCCCCTCCAAGACCCACCCAAATATACTCAACTCACCACCTCAACCTAAGCCTCATACCATATGCAAAAGTTAGCTCAAGATGAGCATGGCTTTATTCTCAACTTTCTACAGGAAAACAAAAATAGGAGAAAATCTGCAGGACTCAGGGTGGAGTAAAGTGTTTTTTGACTTGACCCCATATGGACCTGTGAATTCATTGCACTTTTAGCTATAGCTACATAACTCTCACAAAGTGATGGATGGTACAGTGGTTCTTGGAGCCTACCAAGGAGATTGAACAGTTTTGCTAATGCATATAAGGTGCATGGAACCCTTTTTAGCTAGGACAATGCCAGTAAGGTGTAGAGAATCCTTGTAGGTGATGAGACAGTTGTACCATCCTGCTAGGAAGCTAAAGGGACAGCACCAACAAGAGCCTGGATGAGAGCTTATCCCTTTTGGGCCCTATGCTGAGCACCTCTTAGGAAACAGTTGAAGTAAGCTGAGCTGGGAGACCCAGGGAACAAAAGAATCAAGTATTTTTAGGCAGATGGCTTGCTGAGCGAGTAATTGAGGTATCTCTGGGCACTTGATGGCAGAGTTAAATAGCTTTGTAACAGTCGCCCTAGCAGAGCAGAGACTAAGCATTGCAGATTGAGGGCCTAGAGAGAGGGCTACCTTGACATGATCAAGAGGTTGTCTGATCAAAGCATCATACCTTGAGTCATTCCAGCTATATTAGTTAATTTTGATCCTGAATGATAACCTGTTAAATCTCTAATAAACCTCACAATCTTCAGTATGTTGTGTGAGTTCTGGGTGATCATTGCAACAAACTTTCGAACCCAAAACAAAATAAGAGAATTCCATGGGAGGTGTGGCTCCGGGTCAGAATTGGGAAAATGAAGGATGAGTTATGTTTGACCTTCACTTTATGGGGATTAACAGTCTTGGACTGATGCTGCTGCTCTTGATTCTCATCTCTCCTCCACGTAAAATGAGAGGGCCCTCAACAAACACAATCCACAAAATGACAACTTAATTGGTTGGATTTAATGTGGTACAAAAATTTGTGCAAAAGAGTTTTATACAATACCCATATCTGACAAAAGACTAGCATCTAGAGTATATAAAGAATTGCAGTGCAGCAGTAAATCCTCAGAGAATTTCCAGAAATTCAAGCTAGATTCAGAAGATGATGTAGAATGAAAGAGACTATTGATATCAGATGGATCTTGGCTGAAAGCAGAAAATACCAGAAAGACTTTTAGCTGGGTTTTATTGATGATGCAAAGGCACTTGACTGTGTGGCTCCTAATAAACAAACAATTGCGATCCTGCAAAACTTGTATATACACCAAAAGTAAGTCATTAGAATAGAACAAGTGGATACTGTGTGGTTTAAAATAAGTAAAGGTGTGTGTCACAGTTGTATCCTTTCACCATATGTGTTCCATCTCTGTGTTAGGCTGGGTTGACTAGGGAAACAAATCCAGAGACATTTCTATACGTTTAAGAGAGAGCCTTATGTCAAAAAGTAATTGTATATTAAGAAAATGTCCCAGCCCAGTCCAGCTCAAGCCTATAAGCCCAATATTAGCCCATAAATCCACTACTAGTCCAGAAATCCTTCTTCAGATTCACACAGTCACATGAATGATGCAAAATGCAGGAAGACCAGGGGCCAGTGGGTAGAAAGTCAGTGGAACCATCTCAGCACTGGCACAGTTCTCCACACATCTCCTGCAGCTCTCTGAGTGGCTCAACAGCAGAAAGTGAACCAGAGAGAGAGAGAGAGAGAGAGAGAGAGAGACACACCTCCCTCCTCTGATGGCAGAATCAAGAGAGAGGAAGTTCCCAGAAGCCACCAAGAAGGTCACGCCCACAAGAAAGCATCATCAGGCTGTGACCTGATTGACAGGCTAGACTCCACCCCTATACTTATTTATCAAGTTGACATAAAATTATGTAACTACCACACTCTGTATGTTGAGCAAATAATATGATAAACTTGATTATTAGGATTACTGTGATGTCAGGATCAGAAGAAAACACATTAATAACCTGCAATATGTAGATGGCACAACCTTCATTGCTAAAAGTGAAGCAAGCTTGAAGCACTTACTATTGAACACCAAAGCATACAGTATGGATTACATTTCAATATAAAGAAAACAAAAATCCTCACAGGGAACCAATCAGTGCCATCATGGTCAGTAAAGAAAATATTGACATTATCAAGGATGTGACCAAAGCAGTGGTATTTTCAGCCACCTCATATGCTTGTGAAAGAAAGGTAGTGAATATTAAAGACCAAAGAAGTATTAATGCATTTGAATTGTGGTGCTGGCAAAGAATAGTACAAGTACTGTGGGCATACAGAAGAGCAAACAAACCTGACTTGGGAGAAGTACAGCCAGCATGCTTCTTAGATACAAGGAAGATGAGATGGTGCCTCAGATACTTTTCATGTGCCATAAGTAAAGTAAAAGTTCAGCAAAAACAAAATTGTTATACATAGGGTCTCCATAAGCAGAAACTGACTGGATGACACTCAATAACAGCAGCAACAAAAACTCTAGCAAGGAGTTTGGGGTTATCTTTAAAAATGAAACATAGAAGAGTCTACAATCCAGCGATTGCACTCCTAGGAATTTACCTCAGAGAATGAATAGTGAGGTTCATGGGAAAACCTGCATGGCAGCATTGTTTACAGCTGCTCTATTCATAATAGCCCAAAGCTGGAAATAACCTGGAAGAGAGGCACATCCAAACAATGGAATACTGCTCAACAATGAGAAGAAACCAGTGTTGATGCACGGGACAACTGCCTGGAAGAATTGTTAGAGAATTATGCTGAGTGAACCACAACCATGCCGTATGGTTCCATTTACATAGCAGTCTCAAATGACAAATTATGCAAATAAAGAAGAGATTATTGCTTACCACGCAGTGGGGACAAAAGGGAAGTAGGTGTGGGTATAAAAAGGGAAAAGAGGAATGTGGTGAGAGAAATTAACTCTATCCTGATGTGGCTGTTAGATTTTATATCAACTTGACCTTGTGTGAAAGTGCAGAGGGAGAGTCCAGCCTATCAAACTGGTTACAGCCTGATAATGCCTCCTTGGGGGTGTGGCCTTTTCTATAAGAAAGACAGTGAGAACATCTCCATCCACTCTTGCCCTTTGCCTTCTTCCTGGCTGGGACTCTGTTTTTACCTCCAGAAGTGGCCTCACATGAACTGTCGATATGGAGAACAGTTGGTGCCCTGCCATGTTTCCACCAAACTCGAATCCACCCTCCTCTGCTCTCCCTGTGCTCTCCCACCAGCCTGTGCTCGCTCTGCTTCCCATCTCACCTTTCTGCTCCATTGCTCAGCAGCTGTGTGAGTGTGAAGATGGCTCCAGCTAGCACGGAGCCACAAACTTGATTTGGACTGGTCTTGGATCCTTCTTGAGAGAAAGTACTTCTTGATATAAAGTGTTTTCTTTTATCTGTGTGTGTAACATATATACACCTGTATCTACACACACGTAAGTATTATTGGGTTTGTATCTCTAGAGAACCCAGCCTAGCATAATTTTCTGACTATGTCAATGTCAACATCTTCGTTGTGATGTTGAAAAGTTACACAGGGTTTCTAAGTATTGCTTCTTACAACTGTTTGTCAATCTACAGTGATCTCAAAAGTTAAAATTTAACTTAAAAAATTAGTTTGTCTCCAAATTGTGAAGATCAATCCAATGAAATGAGAATAAGTCATGCAACAATGCACAAAGTTCACAGTTCCCTTTTGGTTTTCTCTGCAAGGTTTGCGTGGAGCAATAGCATTTGCCCTAGCGATTCGGAACACAGAGTCTCAGCCCAAACAAATGATGCTTACCACCACACTGTTCATCGTCTTCTTCACCGTCTGGGTATTTGGAGGAGGGACAACGCCCATGCTGACGTGGCTTCAGATCAGGTCAGTGGCACTATCTAACAAAGGAAATAATTACTTGGAATGGCTGTGTTTGATTTCTGATATTGTTGGCTTGATCAAGGGCACAGTGGCAGGTCTGTACACTAAAGTTCCCTGGGGTAAATTTGATCTTCACTCACAAGGCAAAACAATGATTATACATTGCCCGGTCAATTGACTTTTCCAAGGGTCCTAGCAATCCCAGGATGATGTCTGTTTACAGTACATCAGTACAAATGTATTTGCTTTTTTATTCTTCATTTCAACATGTTTACCTGAGTGCCATGTAATATCCTATCACCTAATAAGAGTGGGTAAGACCTAGGCATTGTCCTAAAGATACTCAGAATGCAGTAGACGTTTTGTAGAGAAAGCCGTTGTGGTGAGGAGAAAGGGAAGGCAGAGCACAGCCAGGGGAGAAAGCTGTTATTCAAGGAAGAGCTACTTCTTCAGAGCATTCAGTGGTTTATAAATGCTTGTGGTGCGAAAGGACGTGTGTTGTGCCTTTTTGTGGGTCTGTGCATGTGTTTACACTTTATTTTATTTTGTTTATAATTCTTCACAACCTTTAGAATAACATTAGAGACGCAGGAAATGCTTAAAAATATTTGATCAGTGAATGACTAGCAATATGTCCAGCCAGAGGGATGCTATAGATACAAATTAGACATTTTCTCACAGGAAAGGGAGATCAAGATGAAGCCAGTTGAAGGTAACTCTGATAAACAGTGCCTGAGAGATCATTGTTGTAAACCTGAAGTAGGCAAGTAGCAGGCAATTTGACAAGAATGGCTGCCTGTACCAATAGTAGAAACACATACATTTGTTTTCAAATATTGCTGTCTTTAAGTGTTCCTTTGACTGGTATCCTATTCAAATGCCACACCAGAACAGTGTTTAAGGTGAGTTACATGTTATTTCTCACGTACATGCATCTTGATAATCACATAGCAGCTCCCTGGTGCTCTGTAAGGAGAATGATGCCCACCACGTCTGACCAAAATCAAACACCAAACCCACTGCCATTGTGTCTATTCTGATCCATGGCAACCCTGAAAGGCAGGGTAAAACTGCCCCTGCGGCTTTCCAAGACTGTTACTCTTTATGGGAGTAGAAAGCCTCATCCTTTTTCCTGTAGTGGCTGGTGGTTTCAAACTGCTGACCTTGAGTTTTTCAGCCCAGCACACAATCACTACACCACCACATCTGACAGGAAGAAAGGGGAAAAAAAGTCCATCTGACAGGAAAAATTCTTCCTAGGAAAATTCTCATGAACAAGCATTATGTTATTCTAGCATCTTGTACAGTGCCTAGCCCAGAGTAGGCATTGAATGCGTAATTGTTGCTTGAAGGAATTACTAAGTATCATCACAAATGCAAACTGCCTCGATTAAATGCTTGTGATTATTTTCCATCCATCTGACAAGGAAGAAGCAGACGCAGTCCTCACACATTTAACTAAAGAAAGGCTATGCTTACACCTGGCCACGTAACTGTGCTTTAAAGTTTAAACCAAATTCAAGAGGGAAAAAAACTCTGAGAGTGCAGTGAATATTGCTAAACATATAAAAATGCATTGACCAACGGTGAACTAAGAGTGTTTTGAAAGGCTTGTTGAATTATTTTCTGGGCCTATAAATGTGACCTACAATTTCTTTCACAGTGGTACTCACCCAGAGGCTCCCATGGATGAGCACGCATGTTACATGAGACTTTAGAGTTCTTGGTCCTCTGTGAACTCTTAGCCAGATAGTGATGTGTTCAGGATTCTGGAAAATAAAACCCAGTAAGTGAATATATGCATGGGGCGGGGGGGAGCAAAGCTGGAGGACACTGATTATCACAAGATAAAAAATACTGAATACTCAGGTAAATTGACATATTCTGAACTCAAAAGCAGTTATGTTAAAAGTTTGCTTAAAATATTTCAACTTGTTTTACACTATTGTTATTCTCTACTTCTAAGAGGTTTTACTCAAATTAGTATTATGTATTATTTTAAAGTGTTAAGCTAACTCTCTTTTTAAGGGTTTTTCAAAGGCATCCATTGACTTCAAATAAGTATCAAAATTTACACAGCCTCTTGTATCTGTATCAGCAGGAAGAGCAGAGTACAATAGTGGGGCTTTAGAAAGGTAGAGACAGTAATCTAATTTATAAAACTCAAAACAAACCTATTACCATTGAGTGGATGCTGACTCACCACAACCCTATCTAGAGTTTCTGAGACCATGGAATCTTTAGAGCAGCAGACAGCCTCATCTTTCTCTGGTTGAACAGCTGCTGGATTTGAACCACTGACCTTGTGGTTAGCAACCCACTGTTTGAGTCACTCGGGACTTAACTTCCAGTTATAGGACAGGTCACATAAGAAAGGAGAGTGATGTCGACCATAGTGTCCAGGGGTGAGGGTTCCAGAGATTAGCTGACAGGCCACGTTAATACAACCTGCTTGATCTAGAACGGTACAAGAGATTGCGTGGTCATGAAGATGGTCCAGTGGAAATTGGCTCCAAATGGCACTGGTGATTGAACGTCAGACTTGATGGTCAACCAGGAGGGGACTGTATTAAGGGTAGGAGTGTGGTATATTTGAGGGAAAGAATTACAGGTCTCCAATCCACTGGGAAAGCTTGAAATTCCAGGTGAGAACTAGAATATATTTCTGAAGCCAAGACAGGCCAGCCATAGAGGCCATGGGCCCAGCCATGGGGCCAAACCAGAGGGGAGGAAGCTACAGTTCATTGATATGTAGATGTCCAGAAAATCAACCGAGACACATAGGGTACAAGCCAACAAGACTAAGTTAAAACCAATGGCTCTCAAACTCATAAGAGCATCAGAATGACCTGGAGAGCTTGTTAAAACCCAGATTGCCTGGTCCACCCCATATTTTCTGTTTCAGGATCAGGTCTACAACAGAGTTGGAGAATTTTCATTTCTCTCCATTGCAGGCAATGCTGATGCTGTCAATCCTAGGAGCACTCTTAAGAACCGGTGGTCTAAACTTCCCACCCCCGATGGACCAGGGTCAATATGAAATACTTCCATATTTGACTAGAGTTGCCCAAACCCAGGCACACCTGTGCCCACAGTTTAAATTCTCAGTGGGAGGCAGGATCTAATTTTAGGAAAAGTAACTGTACATTGATCAAAGAGAGGAAAAGGGACAATAGCATATAATCAGAAAAGAATCGGCCCAGACATTCTTGTGTGTAGAATCACAAACACACACACACACACATAGGCCATAAATTTGGTTCACAGATATTATAGTGAGACTGTCACATGTTTCTCTCTGCTTTATGGCTTATAATGTTATCAGAGACACCCTCAACTGTGTTACAGTTTTGTTTGTTTGTTTTTTGTTCCCTGCCTGGGTCCCCTACAGTTTTTAATTTCATAGTTGCCCATCAGTCACACTATATTTAGCCAGGCCTTGCTTGTTTACAGAGCAACATTTCATTAACTAACTTTCATGTCAGGCTTTTTCCATAAAATACTCGAATGTAAGTAAATTGTAGCTTTAATAAAATGACACAAAAGGGAGACCCCAAGAGGCATGAATGTAAATGTGACATCAAATGAGCCCAGACATCATCACTTGGTGCACTGTGCTTATACATCTTACATTCCCATTCCTCCTTGATTTCTTTTTAAAATTTTCCATCTCTTTTCCATATATTATTAGGTATGTACTTAAGTTGTGTTTTTATCCCTGCAAAAGTTGCCAGTCAGTCAAACTATCACAGGAGGATGCAAATGAAATATTTCATATAGGCTAAAATGTGATGCTATTAATATGAGTTGCACTTTGATAGAAATAACTTTAAAACAGCAATGATCCTGTGCTAAGAGAAACTTTGGATGGTTTTTATATGTAACAACCTTCTCTACAAATGTTATCTTGTCCTAAAGACCATGTAGAGCACTTGCCAGAAGTTGGTTGACTTTCTTTAAATAAGAATAAAATGATATTTACTGAAGCATTTATGACAAATCATACTTCTTTGTTTCCTCCCATTTTGAAGAAAAATAAAGGAATCCAACATTATTTGGGGGGTTGGCTGTGGGTTGCTTGATTAGAATCTGCATCTCCTCTTCTGGGAAACACAGTAGTACCAGTGGTGGAGCGGGGATATCCCAGCCCCCAATATCTAAGGAAGAGCTTCTCTGTTAACCAGGAAACAAGAGATCAAAGGTGTCAGGCTATGCCCTGTAGAGCCAGTAAATGGAATTATCCCCCAAATGATCACACATGTTTACAAATACACCTCAAAGCTCAACACGTTATAGCCTTCTCCAAGTGGCCTTAGATAATTAACTTTGGGGTGGTAACCTTATCCTGGCTTTAGGCATCTCACAGAGCTAACTCAGCTTCAGCAAACAGCACAGAGAACACAGTTTCTAATACTGTCCTGGACACCCTAGGTAGGAATGTTGGGTTCATCCCTCAAAGTCTCTGGCCCACAATGAGGAAAGGGTTACATACCAAAGTTAACATAGTCTTTCTTCCAAATGGTGTTACAGAGCACTGGCACCAAGTACCTTCTCCAGCTTCCCGGTTTTGGCCTCTGAGCAACAAGAATAACTACCCTGATTGAGTTCTTGTTATTGCCAGATCTCAGATAATAAAATACAAGTCACTTCCCTTCCATGTGCCTCAACCTATAGTGTATAAAACAGAGAGTAGAATACTAGCTGCCTCCTCAGTCGGTGCAGCTTGCCAAAGTCATTCATGATTACATCACTGTTGAGCCTCAGAGCAAGAACTCTGCCCAGACAGACTGAGTCCAGAGCCCGCACATCAGCATTCGCCTGCCGCCTTGAGTAAATGAGCTTATTCCTGATGCCTGCAATCTCCCTGATTAGCGAATCCTCTGGAGAAAAGGAGATGTACTTTTACAACCAAGACAGACCTGTGAAAAACAAACACAGGAAATCTTCATCCATTATGAGTGATTGGGCTGGCTTACTCATGCAGCACAGATGTTTTCTTCGAC